GCTAACCTCCATATTATACCATCGCTAAAAAAATACAACGTTTGAAACTTACAGAAAATTCAATATCTTTAGTTTTTGTTTGTTGGTCGGCCAATTTCTTATCTATTTAATAAATTAAAATAAAAAGATCATTGTGTACACAGTACACGTGTTGATAGTCTGAAAGTGACATCAACAAGATTGAGCTCCCAAAGATATTGAATGTGACGAAAGCAGATTATTGTTGTGTCATTATTATAGTTGATAGGGCCAAAAAAATCTCAATATATTAAATTCTGCGATTACACAAGCGCACAAAAAATCCGATATTTTGGAACCAATTCCGATTCACATAGAATGTTATTACACATAGGAAACGCGATAATTTATAATTAACTAAAATTATTAAAACAAAGAGACAGGTATGATCGGAAATGGCGAGAAGCAAATAAGCGTGCGCACAATTCACAGCTAAAATAAATTATCAACATAATCCAATAAACAAATTATGTTTCTTCGAAGTCCTAACCAATTCAATATTTTAATTGTTTAAGAGATGGTTCCTAACAAGAAGTTTAGCGCATAATTTGTTTTTCTTCCGCTAACAAGTTTAGAGATCTTTAAACAAAAAGAAAATTAAAGATTAAAAAAAATAGATTAGAAAAACGTATAAACCATGTCCTGTATATGAAGAACGCATACTTTGGTATAATGACACAAACTCAAGTCTTACAAATACAACAACAATGAACAAAACAGAGTTTTATTTCCTTCTCATTCACAAAACACACAACTCACTTTTCACTACTCCGTCCACCATTTTTCCTGCATTTACAAAAATTCAGTTAAAAACAGGACAATACTATGCTTCTCTACATTATCCGATTAGAGTTCGAGCTCCGGTTTTTACAAACATTCATATTTTACCTCAATGTCTCTTAGTTTGATCCAAGAAGAACATTTTTCTAAACCAAGCAGAAAAAGGTTAAAGTAAGAGACTTACAAAAAGGAAAGATCTTCCAGAGCTGATTGTCGCCTTTGTTCCAGTTCCAAAGGACGATAGTCGTACCATCGCGGACACCACCAGATTTGTGGTCACCGTGATATGCATCAAAGTTTAGTCTCACATTGTTTACCATCCTTATTGTGCGATACCCTTCTCCCATATCCTTGCTCTCCGTCCATAGTACAGACTCGTCGAGCGTATCAGGATCATACCGAGTTAGATGCACCTGCAATACATAAAAATATTTGCTTTAGCCAAGTGGAACATGTAGCGTTAGGAATAATGAAAGTCGGAGAACAAAAGAAACACTGACAGGTTGGGTAGCTCCAACAGAATGCTTCACGGCTTCACCAGTAGCCTTGTTTACAAGAGCAAAACAAGGAAATCCCTCTTCGTCCTTCACCCGAGTGCTGTACTTCTCGTCTTTGTACCAGTGCTACGCATCAAAACCAGCAATGACAACAATTATCTGGATATTCTTAGAGATATCAATTAGAGATCATTGAACAAAGGCTCACTAAAATCTTCTGCTTGAACATGCTCAATCAATGGAAGCATCATGATCATAGCCTATACAATCTATTATGCCTGAATTTGTATATGAAGCCAAACATGAACATAACAATAAAACTAATTCTAATGTAGCAGAGAACATGATGACTAAAATATCCTATT